CTATTATATATGTATGTTTATATATATCGTTAAACATCTATAGGCCTCAGCATTGTTAAACGTGTCAAAAGTCGATAGTTTGGTTCAGACCTATATCTAATAAATTATTGTTTTAATCAAAAAGAAATGAAAACAGTTTTACCTTTAGAAAATGTGCCCAGCACAATGTTTTATCATTTTTTTATTTTTTTTGTATTAAAGTTTCTTAATATGGAAATTGGTATCTACCGTACATAATCGTTATTGCTATTTATACTAACATCGTTACTCTCACCTTTAATTTGACACCACCCCCCCCCCCCTCAATAAAAAAAAATATTGTTAAGTTTCCCAAGAACATTTGGAAGTCAAGGTTGGCATTTTTCTATTAGGCCTAGGCCTAATTCCGTGGACCAATGCCAATCATCGCTAACACAATAGTGTTAGAAAAATGGGAAGTAAAGAACTGAAATCATTTATTAAGCTATCGAATTAAAGGCTTTTATCATGTGATTTTTAAGAACATACAATATTCCCTGCTCTTGGTAAAAGACAAAATGCAAAGCCGACCCTATAGGATGTCTTCATTTGGGGTCGGTCGTACTTGTGCACAAAGTTTTTAATGGCCAACAAATAGTTATTGCTATAGGCCTATATTTAGAATAACATGGCTACTTAAACTGTTTCATCGTAATTCTAATCAAAAGATAGCAATCGCTGTTCCTTCCCAAACCGACTTACATCTCATTAAGGGAGGTGTTGCGTGCTAAGAAATCAGTTTGTCCTTTTCAAATTTAGTCATAATGACGATTCCCTATAGATTTGAGAATGTTTTTCCCAAATAAATATAGTAGATATCAATTTGAAGGTTGTACCGGATATACATTTATTTTTGTGACCTTGCCTAGTGGCATCCTCTTTAAACAGGTGGTTGGCATATGGGTATTAATTACTGCTTGTGGTATTTCCATGCCAATAAAAAAAGTATCTCTCGATTAGTGACCATATAACAACAAGAATGAAAAGTCGCGATCACCCTGACAACGCCTACGCCCGTGTCATGAAGAGAAACGCTCTAAAAACATTTGACAGCAATACGTTAATATAATCTTATATAAAACCTATAGTGTTATATTAACAATCTTACGCATGTCTTACTACACAAATTGTCTTTTTTTACTGTAACGGAGTCAAATATATTTACATCAGGGCTTTATCATAGTGTCATATTCACAATTTTAGATTCAGAATTTACGTCATTGTCGGTATATATTTCATATATTTAAATTGATTTGACTGGGAACAGCAATAAATGGATATCTAGGCAAAGTAGAATAATGATTCTATAATTTAAATTGGCAACCTGAGAAATCCTAGCTTTAAATACTTCAAAAATAATTGAATCATGCTCTGACCGCTGATGAGTAAATAGAGGTTTTTGATATGCGGGGTTGAGTGCAAAATTATTCTGTAACATTGACCAGAGGCCTTTAGACAGATGCGATGATTGGACCATTGGACCAGGGTGGGATGGAGGAGTGATCATAGATTTTGCGGTTTTGATGATGCATTTCGGTACAGATACAGTAAACTATCATGTTTGTGGGAAAGCAACGTGTGTACGCTCGTGGTACACGTTTTAACAATATTTATATATCCTTATATATATATATATATATATCTGTCTCTTATACACATCTAGATGTGTTGGTGTATATATATATATATATATATATATATATATATATATATAGGCCTACATAATGTCATAATATTTTTTTTTTAAAGCACGAAAATGATCTTTTGAAACAATATAATTTGGGCTCATTCCTTGGTTTTTTAAACGTTATTGAACACTGAACAGTGTATTCTGTCGTGGATATTTGTGCTAGACTATATCAATACCTGTTGATTATTCATTTGTTTATGGAATTGATCGATTTGGTGCACATAAATTGTCACCCGGGAGCAAAAGCTTTACGTAACGTCAAAGTGATTGTAGTAAACAAAATGTCCTTCACTCTAAAAACTTTCGTTCCAAAACCAACCATTTTAGCACCTTGCACGCAAATAATATTGATTGTTTAATAATCAACAAAAATGAAATAAAATTCAATTTTATATCAAGTACATTTCATACAACACGGCATGTTGAATAATTTTCCGTTAATTTTTTTGTGTACGCAGGCCAACAAACTACACCGATTAGCCGAGTGTCAAGATTGTTTATATTTAAAGAGCATTTTATTGAGTCTTGCTCAACGCACGAAGTGATCACGTCATCATAATGTGTTGCAACCAAACATAGGTCTACTTAATTTGCCACGCACACTTGATTAATACCTTCCGACTGATCAGAACGAGCAAACGCAGGCGAGACCTCGGCATGTACGCGCGTTTCCGGATCCATAAGACTGCACTTCGATAACATTCAGAGTTCAGAACACTATTCAATTCCGTACATACAGGAACTTTCAATAATTCAAACTTCAAACCGATCTGATTTTTGAATGATGTAAAAGAGATAAAACACAATTTTCTATTCAGAGACTGTCGTTCGATTCGATAATAACCGACAGAAAAAGTTGTATTGAGAGTGACAAACGTGATGGGTATTTGTAAAGGACAGGAAGAGGAATGGGGGAAAACGGCGCCAAAGATTGTCAAACATGACACTTTCTGGAAAGAACGGCCTAGAATGAGAAATCAGAAAAACAACGATATAAAATTCACATAAAACTATATTCATAGCATGTGGTTATAAAGCTTAACATGGAACGCGATGCATGCGTACATACAATCTACACTTTAACCACATATCTGGTCAAATATACATAGGGGCCTATAATTATTGGGGTTTTTTTTTTTTGTTTTTTTCTGTAGGCATTATATGCATTTTGTAAATTTAGGAATAAATATATAAAATAAACGATGAATGTAACTCTAAATAAACCTCATAACAATAAATTGAGGTCCTTTTATATTTAAAAGTCCCAACATTATATATACAGGCCTATGCCTACGAACATATTCTTGTGGCGTTACTCTGGATTCACAAACATTAACTGACTAAATATTAGGATTGTCATAGTTAGGATGAAAATATAATAATCATAAAGTATGGTAATAGTAATCAAATATAATCGTAATCTGGCTTACGTGAATAGGCTGAAAAACAAAACAAAAATCAATAACTCCACAATCTGTAAGTTTTGTTCTCTTGAATATCAGTAACTATTGAATTAGGTTGATGATTTGTTGAAATTTAGAATAGTAATATTTGCTTCAATCTGGTCTAGATTATTCCGCAATTGGTATTCCGTACTTGTTATGTTTGTGTACAATGAAAGTACGCACCTTAGCCTATATCATAATTTCTCATACTTAATCAATTATTCTTTATATTACTATGAGTTATTTCTATTTTATGAAACATCTTTCAACGTGTTAAAATACTTTCACTTGAGTTATGCAATAATAAAGTCCTACGGTGCAGTTGAGATACGGTTGTACAGGAGGAAGCGACGAGAACACGGGGCTGGATAGGAAATCAGGTACTGTGCTGACAGATATCATAATGAAAAGGAAATAACTTATGCAGAGGGATTGCAGAAGAACATGAAAACAGACAACAGATGAGCAGTATTTATCGAAGAAATATCATGGCAGGAAGCTGAAGGAACCCCATGAGAAACTTGGGTGTTAAAATCAAGACTGTTTTTACAAACATTACGGTATACCATGTGATGCGCCTGTTGCACGTTAGCAGCCATGTATAGACGCTTGCTGTTTTTCTTCAGTTGCACACATCGGGTCTTGAAATAAAAAATGAAACATTATTATACTGCAGTAGGTTTTTTAATACATAATTGAAAGTATTTTAAAATCAATTGAGGCATCTCATGTCTGGAAAAGACAGTTTATAACATTCGCGAACGTTGTCAACGTAGAG